TCCCTGCAGCAGCCCTGACCCCATAATGCGCTGCTGCCTGACCAGGGAGGCTGCGAGGGAAGAGGTCTGGGATCAGTGACAGCTAAGGGGGCTGGGCCAACCCAGTGCTTGGGGAGAGCAAATGAGTCTGCCTGAGGCTAGACTGCAGCCCTACATAACGCTGCCTGGGATGACGGTGATTGCACTCTAAGTTAACCCTCAATGGGATGTGGCACAGGCATTTAATAAAACACTCTAACAGAAAGTGCTTTAGTCTAATACCTCATCTATCAAAGGTTAACTTAGGGCATTTGTACACATGCATGTGCTGCAGTGCTGACAATTTTAAAAGCGCCCAATGCTGCGGAGGATACATTTGTATAAATGGCAAAACGCACGTCAGCACTGAGAAAATGGCAGCTGTGTGCTTTTGAACTAGAACACACCGAAGGTGTGTTTTAGATCAAAAGTGTACTGCTGCCATTTTCTGTGCACTGATGCACATTTCACTGTTTGTACAAATGCCTGAGGCACAGCACTGGGCACGTCAGCTTGCATGCTCCGCGGACTCAATGAACCAAGTCTGCTCCAATGCGCTGGATTTCCGGTGCATCAGAGCAGATAAAGGTATGTGTATAAATGCCCTTAGAGTGCAATCTGCCATTTTAAAGTGCTTTAACAGCCATGAACATCTGTTCAATTATGGCTTTAGAGAACTTTCTGCGCCCTTAAAGCACAATAGGTGTAACATCTGTGCCTAACCTGAGATATGAGTTCTCTTCTTTTCAGTCACTAATGGTGCTTTATGTTCTTCTTAGGCCTGATACACGTTACATTTAAGATGTGATTAACTGGTCAATCCTGTCTTAAGTAGTGACCTGGCCACACATTTATTCAATTAATGGTGTGGCAAAACCAGGAACAGACAAAGTTATTACACAAAATATGTATAATAACTTTGTGGCATCTTCCTATCATGCTTTTAATTGAATGTGTGGCCAGTGCTCCTAGCCTCCAGAACACATTCTGGAGGCTGGGAGCACTGGTCAGTTGATTGGGCTCCCAGCTGGGGAAGTATAATGAGGATCCCTGGCTGGAAGCCACAATTAGCTGACAGAGATCCAATCAGCTGATCAGGGCTCCCGCAAGGGGTGCTCATTGTGCTGACAGAAGCTCCTGATCAGAACTCCTAGCCATGGTGGGTACCATGTGCCCCTGTGGCTGGGAGCCCCATCAGTGATTAGATTTCCCAACTATGGGGACACACCATGTACTCCCACAGTTTGAAGCTCTGTCAGCTGATTGTAGCTTTCAGCCATGGGAGCACATGGTGCTCAGAGCTCCAATCAACTGATGGATCTCCCAGCCATGGAAGTGAAGATTGCCAGTGCAAGGGGAGCCTGGGGTCATGATCCTGCTCTCCCCTTTCATCAGCAATATGGCATGAAGGGATACAGTGCTTGATCCCACAATCACGCCTCTAGCCATGTATATGTGGCATAGTGGGAAGTGCAAATGTGGGGATCACGCATCAGGTCCCATTGCACTTTCTTTTGAATGTCTGTCAGTAGCCCTACAAATCTTGGGCCTGATTCTCACTTGTAATAAGCCCCTGCTGGAGCTGAAAAAAGTTCTTTATTGGAAATGAGAATCAGGCTCCTTTTTCAATAAGATTTATGTCAGTTCAAAACAATACAAGATTAAAATAAATGGGAAAAAACCACCAAGTGATAAATTGCTATATGAATCTCAAATGCAACTATCCATTGGCTATGTAAGGCATATTTCCAGGAGAAGGAGTGAGACATCCATTGGCATAAAGCCTGGGTCAGTTCCTTTCCCCCATATTGAAACAGGGCACTATCACAGTTTATGCTGCAACCCCACAAATGGAGCATATATAGATATGGTGCCCTAAAAGCAGGCTTGGAGCCAGATTGGCTCCTCTGGTGCACTGGGCATCTATACTGGTCTCTGAATAAAGAGGAGTGGTACTATCCCTGGCCACCCATTCCCACCCACCTTTATTGGAGTAGCAGACTCTTGGTAGCTGCCTTCCCACAAATCCAGATAGCCAGTAAAGTAGAATCTTAAAGTTCTCTTTATCCAAACACGGACTAGAGCCTCACTTAAAACCTAACTGATTGGGAAGTCCCGCAATTTAAAGTTTTCCCTA